CGTGTCAGTTTACTTTTGTCAGCAAATCAGTTATCACACTTGCCTGGAAGGCGTCGTAGCATCCAAATCGGTGCTTCATGCGAGACAGTAGTTGTAACTACACAATTAGGCCGCTTTATGATGCAATCACCTATCTCGGTACAGGGGGGCGTTGAACCTATTCTGTTTGCGTGTTGGTATGAGATTGGACGCCCACTCGACAAGCTGAAACGTTGAAGTGGAGAGCTGGAGTGCTATGCACGATACCCCGAGTTTCTCGGGCAGACGAGTTCGCTCCGAGCTAGCTCTACGGTGGCATAAAAAATGGCAGCATATTATAATAGATAGTGGGGCGAAGCATCCATCCGTCCATTCGTTCTTGCTTCCGTCCATCCATGCTTGCGTCTGTGTGGCCGCCCGTGCGTCCATCGGCCCGTCCGCAAGTTCATCTGTGCGTCCGTCCCTGCTTTCGTCCACGCATCCGCTCCTGCGTCCGTTCATGCGTCTATCCGTCCGTGCAGCCATCCGTGCCTCCGTCCATGCATCTGTCTGTGTGTCCGTTCGTCCACCTATTCAACACTCCAAGTAGCACCATCTCGCATCTTTTCATCATATATTCCTCATATAGAAGCACCGCCATCCAGCGGACATTCCAAGGACTGAACGAGAGGAGGCACACGTACACTGTCTTACGCTTTGCGCTTCGTGTCTACTTCCCACCTTTAACCCTCTCGAGTTCATGGTATATACTAGTTCACTGCATTCATGGCACTGCGGCCGAACGCTCGCTAAACCTTTCTAAAACCAAGGAGGTTACGCCCAGCGAGTATAACGTAGCAACCCTTTCTTGTCTTCTGTGCGTTGTTGAACAATAAAGAATTCGCAGCGTGCGCTTAAACTGGAAGCCGAACTCTCCTGTCTCTCATTCTCTATTAGCAGTCATTGGCATGTACATTGAGCACTGTTTTTTATTTTTCAACAACGTACAGAAGAAATCTCTCACCGGCACCACCTTAGAGGTCAAGATGTTATACTTGTTACACACTACTACAAAGGCTTCTAGAGACGAACGGGTGCCGCTATAAGGAGCTTCGCACCTTGAAACAGTTCTGAGCACGTGATAGCAGCGTTGATAAAATTGGCTATAAGAACGCGCGTGGCGTTGGAACTCATGTGGAACATTTGCAACGATTGTCAAAGAAACGCCACATGCGTACACGTGAGCGCCGCCACTCGGTCAACATTTTGACACTGCAGCGACTTCGGCGAGAATTTGTCGCGCTATCTTTTTCCTAACTCAATACGCGCCACCCAAAAGCGTGTTCGTGTGCACTTGTCCTTTTTCTAGCAAGTTCTTTCGTTGCACCTGCAGCTGCTAAGTTTCCACTTCGAAGGCGGCAAGAGTGGACCCACAGCACTCTGGTGCGGCTCATTTTGCTTCCCTCAAATGTTGCAGTTATAAGGACAGGTGGTCACCAGGGGCGCTCACATAATGACTGCCACGCGGCTGTTAATGAATAAGTCGTGTGCGCGGTGAAATTGAAGGTGACACACCCTACCCGCGCGATGATATGACTTTTACTACAGCGCGCGTGCGTGCATACTGGGTGCGATAAAGCTGATAGATTAATCGTGCCGCTCGACGTGAGTACTGCTCTTCGGCAAGAGGAAACGTGGTGGGCGTACCCGATCTTCGCCGCGGGTGTCTGTCAATAAACTGATTTACGCGTGAACTCAGATACACAGACGTTAATTCTAAGAAGGCTGCAGTTTAACTCATGACTGTCATGGTGCCGGTATGACTGTCAACCGTGTCATGCGGTCAACGCTAAGCGGCAGCTTCTGCATATAAAATAATTTGGTCTGCTTGCACCTATTGTGCTAGGCTGGAGCAATAGAGGAGCTTGTGATAACCTACCTTCTTCCAGCTTTATGTAGGTCGTCTACTGACCTGCTTGGTCAGCTTCGTAGTGAAGGTAGACCGCGTCAGCTTAGTCCTAATTTTGATTTCACTAATTAACTAAGGCTTAATGACCAATACACTGAGTTGTTTTGCCTTCAAAGGTAAGACTTCAATCAAAAGGCAATTATTTGAGGCGCAATTAGCAAGATTATGATGAGTATGGCGATAAATAAACGTAACCCCAATCAGCACAATCCTAATTATCATCACATTAGTAAGAACCAGTTAGCGTGGCTTTAGGTTGAGTTCTCATCGATAACGTTGGGTAAATAACATAGTTTAGTTAGATCATCTACCAGCATGCTTTGTTTAACCCGGTCTTACCATTACATGACTTCATAAGCACGGTCTCCTCAAGATGTGGTGGAATTGCATCGCCTTTACCATGACTTGGCTTAATTAATTTGGTCATATCATGTCCTGGCCTAACTAGCCAAGTGTACTGGCCTGCCAAAGAGCTAATAAGCCTGGCGTACGTACTCGTGTGCTGGCACGCCACGAAGACGACGAAGAGGGCGTGCACTAGCCGAGCAGCATGCTACATTGTACAGGCCGACCGTGATGATTAACACGTGGGCCCGGGTTTAGGTTTGGTCGCGATGTTGTAGGACACTCAGCCGGAGGTTATCTCAGAGGCCACCATGCTGGTTATTATAAAAGATATTTAGTGCTGGCATTGAAAGCTTCAAGAATAACTTAAACACTCGATGTGTTTCAAGTATATAGTCCCGAAACGTTTCTGATACCTTTATTGCATGGGTGCAGTTGTGAACTCAGTGAAAGGACAAACAAATAAAAGAAGATGTCTCTGGTTTGAAAACACCACCCAACTTTGTCGACCATCTTTGACGCGATGACCTGTTTCTGATGAAAACCAATGAAACCAATGAAAAGCAGCACACTCACGGGTGGATTTGTCTTTTTCGCGATGTTGGCTCATGCAAAGTTGGGTGTCGCGAGAACTCGCAATGATTCAAAACTCGACTGATTCTGCATAGCACTCCTGGGCACGTTCATGCTGGTTCACAATGTAGAACAGCGCAAGAAAAGATCGCTCCTTGTTATTCGGGCTGTTTTACATCATCACTCAAGCCTTGAAGACCACTGGTAGACAGGACCAGCTCAATTCCACGCAATTCTGGACATAAAGGTGTCACTCACGCTAAACGATTTAACCGTTGGCTAACTCCTGTGAGTGATCTTTATTATTCCACATCCTACTGCTCACATCGCGCGCCATCGCCTGTTACAGATCTTAAAATCTTGATTGCTTATTGCGCGCGTATAGAGGTAGGTAGGTACTAAACTCTATTAAGGATCCAACGAGGAATTACTGGCCCGGGCTAGGTCTCCAGGAGCCGTCGTCCGCAGAGCATCATGCGATAGGTTAGGTTAGGTTAGGCTGGTGATGAAGTGAAAGTTGTGACGACGTTTTTCACATGTCTTGGTGTTTGGGTTTTGCTTGTGCACACAGAGATATTCCTTATATTTCGTGGACGGAAAATACCGACAAATCTATGAATTGATATTCTGGGCCAGCTAGAACGTGTCTGGAGGCCTTCTATCTTTAGGTCGCTGGTATAAAGGTCCCGTACAAAAAGAGAGAGTAGAAAACAAGAAGGGAATATCTATTTTCGAACCTTTTTGAATATGGGCAGGCACTGCGCCGTGTCGCCTGTATGCAGACAGAAGTTAGGTGCCTTCTTCCTTTTCCTCATTACCACTAACAGCAACAATATGGAATAAACCTAGCTTGTTCTAAGTGTGCAAGCTAAAGAATTATACATATCCTCCTCAGACCTCTGTAAATTTGGGGGTACACATGAGAAATCTCAACACATTTTTGGAATCCACACACATACCTTATTACACGAGAAAAAATTGCGCCACTACGACACACAGCTTTTGCACACCAATGTATGCAATATAATGCACACTTGGTTTTTATGCGCAGTAAACAAGCAAAACTGGCCAATAAAAAAATGTTTACATTTTCTTGCGAAGAGCACTCCCGTTTGTTGTGAAACTCTTTGTAACAGTTTCTCAAAGTCGTTATGCATGCGAAGATGCTTCTCCGGAACTTTGTTCGCTGCGACATCCCGAGTTTGGCCATCTCGAGGAGGATACCCATTTTACATACTCTGGCATGTGACTTGCTTGCGTATTTTTCTCTTCAGGGGGCACCTGAGGCTTTCATCGGCTATCTGGGTGCATGAAGATCAAATTCAGTGTTCGACCTGTTTTCTACCATTAGATATTCACCAGAGAACAGCCACTTTGTCAGAAAAGTAGAGGTTCGAGGTGTCATTGCTGTTATTATGTCGAGAGCGCGCTCCTTCTTTTGACGAAAGGTTCTTTGATGAAACACCAAAGCTTAAGACTAAAGAGCTCCATCCCGACGGCATGAGACTGGCAACGTACGTACGCCAAAACAGGTACCAAGACCCAATGTGCATTACAATGCACATTTGCAGAAAACACCTTGTGGCAACAGAAATACTCCACTTTAAGGTTACTTGACATGAGGTAGTCATTCGTAAACGTTCACAAGCAGATTAAAGTAACAATTCGAAATTATGACTGCATGCTCATTGAGTAATTGTGCATTTTAATCCACGTGTGGTCTGAAGAGTATAAAGCTAGTTGTGCGAACGTTGTGAATTTCTAAATCTAGACATTGACGTCACTCTTTGCGCAACAGTGCCACAGCGCCAGTGTGCTCCATAGCACGTGACCGGTAACTATGCTGCCTTCGTGCGTAAGTACCACGAATGGCGAAGCGCACATATTCTTCCGAGTCGCTTTCATGACTGGCCGGATTTTGGTATTTACCTGAGTTGCCATTACTGACGTTACAACCAGATCCTTATGACATAGTGTGACAAGTACGCACAGTTTGAGTCTACAGCTTCAAATCTTGACGACTCGCATGTAAATGCAACGTTTTCAAGGTGCGCGTAGGCATAGAGGATAAATTAACTCATTATCAGATAATCATGCAGTTTGACAGGTTCAAACTGCTCCGATTATGCCCCTGCTAAGTACGCTTAACAAACAATTTGTGTACTGGGTGAGCAATATTTATTCAAGGGGAAGGTGTGTGGTTTGTTATGAAAGAGCCATGATTTACAAATTCCTTAGGAAGGTAATGAAGGTCCGCTTGCCGCGGTCTGTCCACGGTTGGCACCATGGTAGCGGACGTCGTTGGTGATGAAATGAAGGTCGTGACGAAGCTTTTCACATGCCTTGGTGTCCTTGAGGAACGGGCTAACCGTGGTGGTGCAGAAAGTGAAGTTTCTTCAGGCTGAAATATACAAGTGCGTGTAGAGTGAAAACGTAAGCTAACAGTAATATGGTTCGAACTTTATCAAACAATAATGAGCGCATAAAAACGTTTGTGGTTGAAAGTGATATAGGAGAACGACTTCGCACCAACTTCACCCGTACAGATAATAATCGCGGAAACTTCACTGACGATGAAGCACATCTGCTCAAGATTGCCCAGAAGCATGATAAATACATCACATTAGTTTGATACATACGTCTTTTGTTCGTTTGGCAACGCTTGATATCAGTCATGCAACTAGTGCATCTCTGGCTTATATCACAGCTTATACAGGAAAAAATGGGAATCACCGTAGTAGTAGCATAACGTTTACACAAAACTCAATACCATTGCCCACATCACTGCGCTGCGCGAGCCTACCTGCTACTCATTGTCGTGTCATTCTTATTATGACACACAAGAGCGAAAATCGCATCCCTAATGATTTAGCTTTAGTGCAATGACTTTGAATATTAGATTGATGTTGTCAGCGTCCATCCTCACGGCATTCTTATGCACAAATAATTCCCAACTTATATCAAAACTAACTTGACGTTCTGTCTCTACACTGTCTCATTCATCTATACCAGGAATGAAAACCATGAAAAATGTCACCCAGTCACAATGACAGCTTATGTAGACAGAATGCTGTGATTTGACTCACACACTAAAATTACTGGCCACCAAGCATACAGTATAAATTATTACATTTCACATATATATATATATATATATATATATATATATATATATATATATATATATATATATATATATATATATATATATTAATTGCAATACTTAATATTTGCGTCGTTTCAGACGTGTTCTTCTTCCTTGGGCTCTAACGACATTATTTAAATTCACTTTTTGCACAACGAATATTAGGAAAATCTTCTTATTCATTAATTTACTATTGGCCTAAGCTAGCGTAGCTGAGCATGGGTCTTGCTACCCCACGTTACTTTCCTTCACGGACCAGAACATCTGTATGACTCTCTTAACCAACTCATTTCTTGTTCGTTGGTGATATATGTTGCATCTCGTGAGCCTTGCTGTTGATTGATTGATTGTTATGTGTGGTTTAACGTCCCGAAACCTCCATATGATTATGAGAGACGCCATAGTGGAGGGTTTCGGAAATTTCGACCACCTGGTGTTCTTTAACGTGCACCCAAACTGAGCACATGGGCCTATAACATTTCCGCCTCCATCGGAAATGCAGCCGCCGCAGCCGGGATTCCATCCCGCAAACTGTGGGTCAGCAGCCGAGTACCTTAGCCACTAGACCACCGCGGCCGGGCAGCCTTGCTGTTCGGAATTAAAGCAGTGAAATTGCTCTACTAAGAAAGGCAACAGTTTTTGAGCTGCTGCAGTCTTTTAATATGACAACTTCGTTAGGCAGCGTGTGTTTTAGAGAAAGAGGCAAGAAAAATCCTGCTAATATAGGTCAGTCCAGCTGATAATCTTCAATACAAAATATTAAGAAAAGATCCCGCTATCCGCATGAAGTGCATGATGATAAGAGATTCTTCCGAACTGATCGGGAGAACCCGTGAATTCTCCGAAGAAGTCTTCCACCATCATATAAAGACGCGATACGTTGTTATAAGAGAAATTGTATATACACCTATATGCACAATGTTTTATTTTTTACACATTGATGTAATTATGCAGAGCGATTACACCACTGATTACACCACTGAAACTCGAGTACGCGTCTGCCATATGGGACCCAGCTCAATCAACATTAATTGAAGCCTTAGAAGCTGTCCAAAACCGATCAGCCCGCTTCATTCATAACAACTATGCTCGTACTGCCAGTGTGACCTTAATGAAATCTACTCTTGAACTCCCAGATCTGGTCACGAGAAGAACATTTTTCCGTCTGTCACTCTTTCATAAAATTTTCTTTCATAATCAAGTACTTAGAGAGGAATTAATCTCAGGACCTGCATACATCTCATCCCGTGTTGACCATCAGAATAAAGTAGCCATTCCTTTCAGCCACACCAACCACTTTTTGCAGTCTTTTCTTCCGAAGACAAGCAGGGACTGGAATCGCCTTCCCCCCTCCATTGCTGCCACTAAGGATCAAGGGCTGTTCAAATCCGCAGTGTCGAAGCACATTATGGCGTAACTGCACACTGTTTTTCGTTTTTCGTTTTTCTTGTCTTAACTATTAATTGTTGTATTTCCTTCACTGTTGTTATTCTTATTTTTTTGCCACATTCTTATTGTACCCACCCCCTCTGTAACACCCTCTGGGTCTTGAGGGTATACTAATAAATAAATAAAATAAATAAATAAATAAAAAACTGCAGGATGTGTTTTCCTTTGAAGATCGCAATTTCGAGTTCGGCGAAGTGTGTGGCGAGGGGATCTTGAATGAAATGTTACAGTTGAACGTTGGAAATGGCATTGCCGATACAGGTCCGTAGTCGAGTTCTTTTTGCTTTCATTTCCATGCCGCCTGTGCATCACGGACTCTCACTTTGGGCTTTCGCTGTCAACGAACCTTCTTCGCAGCATAAGGCGCAGATAATGCCTTATAAGTGTGTACTGGGTACCTCGCTTATCAGGACAATGACGAATGGCACAGTGGCAAAGTGGTTACTTCCCCACTTTATGAAAGTTACGGAGGGCGCGTAGTGGGTACGTTGCACTCGCCTACATACCAAGGGACTTGCCCTGTGCATAAGAAGTTTGGCGAGCAAGCTCCTGAAATTCTTTAGATGGCATCAGTCATGAATCAGCGATATTTTGCGTGCCAGATGTGATTTGCTAGGAGCTTTGTGACAATTGTGTTTACTGAAACATCCTCCAAGAACCTCAGGCCACGCGGTGAAGCGAAATCACGTGGTAGTCTCAATAGCTATGCTCGTATCAACGTTACAAATGATGCGTCAGTTGAAAATGTAGAGCCAAACTACATTTTCTTAAACACGGTGAAAAGGAGCAGAGGTACTCTGAGAAGGATTTTCCGTATTTAAGAAAACATCTAGTAAAACTTGCGAATATGTCTCTGCAGGAAAGACGTACCATCCGAACCGCTGAACAAAGTTCCTTGCCTATTCCTAGATGTCAAGCATGAGAGAATATTTATATATATGAGGGTGCGATGTTCGTGTAGTTTTTGTATTTTATTCTTGTTTTTTCGTTAACGTCTGCATGTACTGAAACTTCAGGCTCTGTTACGTGACAATGGCAGTGCGTCTAGGCTAAGTTTAGTCACAAGGGAAAGCGCTCGCTCCCTACGCGTGCGACGAAGGTAAATGTTTGCGCAAGGTAATGGCTGATGGAGGAATACGAGGGACTATACAATCTCGTCGATAACATCCGCTGACTATCACGGCCAGGGGAAGCAGAGACAGCGTAGCTAACAATGGGGACAACCCACGTGTCTAGCTTGGACACCAGTGATGGTAGAGATTGCGGAAAGCTGATATTTATCGCCGCTTGAGCCTGTTACCCGGAACACCTCGCTTCTCGCTGGAGCACGTCGTTATCGCTTTAGCCCTGTAAATCTGTGCAATGCAAAGAGAACATGTGGTGAGCTCGATCAGATAAAAACCCCGGCTGGCGCAGAATTTGGGCATGTTGTGCCGCGCTGACCCTATTTGAGAAGGCAAAAGAAGCTTTCATGTCACGATAAAATAGATTACGCAAGCTACAATTTCTGCCGGTCAGACGCAATTTGTCGAGGCTCCTTACGCCACACCGGAAAAGTTGTTGCTGCCCTGTGGAAAAAAAAAAGCACTTCCGATCTGAGTAGGAGGTTGTAATGCATACTCCAGAAAGCGTCGGCCTCTTTCCATTGCTTACAAAGGAACAAAGTTCGCATGAATTCACTAATTATCTGGCTGTAGTGTGCTGAAAAGATAAACGTGTCCTATATTTTTATAACTTTCTATGTTGTTATCACATTTCCGTTGTGCGTGCTTGGTCATAAGTGTGTTCCCCTTTAGGGGGGAGGGGGGGAATGACGAAGGTTGGTGGCGGTGCACCCCCCTCCCCCCTATTAAGTCATTATATGCGGCGTACTTTGCTAACACCCTTCTTTGGGTGACTAGAGAAGCGCCCCCTCCCCCTTGTGTGTTTCGCTATTGAATGTACGCAATGCTCGGGCTGTTAGGTGAGTCGTTTCGTCAGATAAATACACAGTGACCCCCTCACTTGCGCAATAGACCTCGCATGCTAGTCTATACAATTGAAAGAAGCATTGTTACATTTACTATATCTTAGAGGTCAGCGTGGTGCCTACAAGTCAGTGAGTGCGATTACTTTATCAAGAGCAGTTCCACAAGTTAAATAGGTCTTCTTGTACACTGAAAGCTACACCGTAGTCATATGTCGTGTTCTGTGATTTTCATAAAAGAAATATTAACGTTTTCGAAAAAAGAAATTGCTTTTTAGAACGTGACTGTCACTTTCAAGAGCTTCCGGAAACACTTCCAAAGACACTTTCGTTCAATAATTCTGAATACCTACGCAGGCTACCAGCGCCTTGTGAACCACAAAAGACGCACAAATATGCTGCATTCTAGTCTAAACCCACGTATCCTGTTTCTCTGTTAGCTTTCCATTCATTACGCACGCGTTCAGGAAATGCTGTTACTTCCAATGCACTTCCTTTCCTCCTTATTGTTTTCGCTTCACTTAACAAATGCTCCGTATCGCTTTTTTTTCCACTTTGGCATTGTAACCCATTTGTCCTAGATAATGGCAAGCGCTAATTCTGAATACGCGATACGTTCTTTCATTTCGGACACAGAACAAAACCCAATATGTCTATTCCTGTGTACGCGTGGCTCCTTCCCTTTTACTCTTGCCAACCATAGAATTTGTGCCTCTGGCTACAGGAGTTGTAAAGAAGCCTTCCAGAGCCGTAGAAGAATACTGCTGTGAAGCTCCAAAATAAACCAAAGAGCTCATTCAGGTGTGGTAGACACCGTGGTGGTAGAGTGGTTACCTTGTTT